CCCCCCCCCCCCCCCCACAGATTGACTGAAATATCTGTATATCCCCCCTCAGGACTCACTTTTACATCTGGATCCCCCCGTTATCACATCTGTTCCCTTTAAGACGAAACGCGGTGAAGGAACCAGTCTGTCGTCGGCGTCCTGAAGCTGAACTCTTTGGTTCTTTGTCATCAAGAGGAAGCGAGCCCCCCCCCCCAGATTAATGAAACCCAAAACCTTTCTGAGCAGAACAAAATGAGAAGCCATGAATGACGCACCGAGTTTCAAGTTACTGCAAACGCACAGCTGATTTCTTCAGAAGTTTATTCACAGAATGAGATGTGAGGAGGCCCCCTGGCACCTGGCCGAGCCCCCCCCCCCCCCCCCCCGACCCCCTCTCTAGAAGTAGAGTTTGGCCATGGCCTGCAGGAACCTCTTCTTCCTCTTCTGGGCGGCCAGCTGCAGGACCTCCTCCGGGTTGCTGGTGTTCAGCTCCGTCTGGCCGATGGCCTTAATCTGCAGAGCCGGGACACTTTGGGGCTTAAAGGCGCAGCCTCAAACATCTGCAGCGTCACAGCGTTGCTCAGAGATGACAGTCAGACAAAGTCAGGACAAAAGGGACAAAGACATGCGGCACCGGAGAGTCAAAGCTGCTTCTAATGGCGGTAAAAGTAGGAGCGGCTCGTTTTCAGACCAGTTTTCAGGAGCTATTTTAAGCCTGTTAACCATTCCCTTACGATCCTCAATTTTCTGAGGTCTTAATGAGATTAATGAGACATTTTGGTGTAAATAGCTGCTGGTTTTAAGCCTTTTTTTAAAGAGAAGTGATGCTATCTTGACCATCTTTGCTCCACAATCTGTGAAAAACGCTGATAGTTTTATTCTGAACTAGTTAATGTGCTCCTGTCGAACTATGTCTAACAGATTTATGTCTTTTCTGTGTGTGTTGACAGCCTTTCTAACTTTTAATTTCCAAAACATTAAACTTTAAACCCTCATTTGACCGAAAACACCTGCAATTTAAATCCCATTTTACCTCAAACACCCTAAACTGAACAGAAATCCTCGTTTTTGGAACCAAATCTTCCTAAAATAACATGCTGGTTTACCTCAAAACACCCTGAACTGAACAGAAACCCTCCTATTTGGACCCGGTTCCCCCTCCCTAGCTCTCTCCAGCCTCCCTCTGAGCGGCTGCTGGCTGGAACAGCCCCCCCAGACTCACCGCTATCTGCCTCTTCTCGGCCTCGCCCCGTTTGTGGTGGATATCTGAGCAGCAGCTGAGGAGGCACAAAGAGCTGAGAGGGAGCAGGTGGGGGTTCTGAGGTCCCTAAACGGACCATGGGGAGGATACGGGTCAGGTACTCCAGGATGGTGACGTCCCAGATGTAGTCGTAGAAGGAGTCCATGGCGTCGTGGCTGTGGAGACACAGCAGCAGGTCAGCGGCTCCCATTGGCCGGCGTCCGACCAGAGCTGATCAGATCCGACCCGAGCCGGTCAGGTCCGATCTGGTCTGAACCGATCTGACCCAGGCCTCACCTGTTCTGCTCCTGGAGGGCTTTGAACGCCGTCATGTAGTCCACTTCTCTCAGGAACTGGCACAGAACGGCGACCTGTGGAGAACCGGATGGCGCCCGGTGAGAAAACCGATCCGACCCAGGAGCTGTAAGGCCATGTGACCCCCGACCCCTGACCTCTGACCTGTGTGTGGCAGTTCATCATGGAGCAGCACTTGATCATCCTCTTCAGGACCTGCGGGGCACAGAAGCCTTTATAGGACTCAAGAATCTCATTTTCAGCCCATTTTTTTTACAAATCTGTGATTATTTCGGTCCACTTTTATAAATTTTCAGCCCATCTTTTAAAAATCTGAGAAAAAAATGCCTCAGAAGCCATTTTATGCCTTAAAAATCTAATTTTCTGTCTATTTTTAAAAAATCTGGGAGAAAAACTTGCTCAGCCACCTTAATATGACTCAAGCATCTCCTTTTCAGGCCACTTTCTTACCTGGTCTGTGTAGATATCGGGGGGAACTGCTTTGGTGAAGAAGTCTGAACTAACAGCTCCAGCCTGGAGGTAGAAGTTCAGAGCTGCAGAGTACTGGTTGGTCACTGCAAAGGGCAGAATGAAGATATTAGCTGTGAAGCAGCCCAGCAGAGAGGGCCATTACCGCCACCCCCCCCCTGCAGGCAGAGCCGGAGCCACACACCGAAGTAGATGTCGGCCTGCGTGACGAGCCAGGACTGGTTGTTGGGGTTGAGCGTCAGCGCGTAGGAGACCAGCTCTTTGACGGTCACGGCCACGGCCTCCACGTCCACGGCCTGAATGCTGCTCCACACACAGGGACAGACAGCTCTGAGAGCCAAGCAGCAGAACCAGGCCGCAAGAGAACAGACACACAAACAAACAGACAAACCAACAGACAGACACACAAACAGACAGAAAGGACAAACAAACAAACTAACAAACAGACAAAAAAAAAGAGAGGAGCCGGCTTTACTTTGGCAGAGTGGACGGCCAGATGGAGAGGTGTTCTGCGGTCACTTCATTCACTATGTCGTCCTGAAGGGGAGCACAGAGGGGGGGGGGATCAGCAAGGGGGGGGGAACTGGGCTCCAGTTTACCCACAATAACCTGATACGGGGACATTTGTATGTGAAGCTCCAAATGAGACAAAAATAACCAGCATCAACTGGGAGGAAAAGGAGGAGGAGGGAGAAGATGGAGGAGGAAGAGGATGAAGGAGGAAAAAGATGGAGGAGGAGGAGTGGTGTTAGCGTTCTGGGGGTCTCCATGAATCACCCTGACGATGCTGTGCAGCCTCACGAACAGCGAGATGAGCGTGGTCATCACCAGCGGCTCCTGTGGAGAAGAGAGGTGTGGTCAGGGAACAGCAAACAAGAAACAGGAAGCAGGAGACAGGAAACAGGAAACAGGAGACAGGAAACAAGAAACAGGAAGCAGGAAGCAGGAAACAGGAAAAGGGAAACGGTAGACAGGACAGGAAACAAGAAACAGGAAGCAGGAAACAAGAAACAGGAAACAGGAAGCAGGAGACAGGAAGCAGGAGACAGTAAACAGGAAGCAGGAGACAGGAAGCAGCTGCTCACTCTGAGTTTCTTTATGAAGGTGATGAAGCGGCTCCTGTTTGGGGGGAAAAGCAGCAGAGTGAGTGACCGGTCTGAGACGCTGCGGTTGCCGTGGCAGCTGATCTGAGCAGCTGCGGTCGCCGTGGCAGCCGGTGGACCGACCGCTGCATGATGCCCAGAGACGAGTCCCTCTGCTTGATGAGCCCCATCCGGCCGTCGCTGCTCCGCTTGTGCTGCAGCGACACGCTGCAGATCTGCACCGCCGCCTCCCACAGCTCCTTGGCGGTGCGCCGGCTCTCCTTGGGACCCGGCAGCTCTTTGCAGGTGGAGGCCAGAAGCTGGCCGATCTGAGGAGGAGCAGCACAACAAGTCCAGCGTCAGAGGCACCGGGCAGGACCAGCAGGACACGGAGCCATGGCAAGGCTCCAGATGTTTGGGGCAAGAGTCAAGATGTTTGGGGCTAAACCTAGAGGTAAAGGGTCTGGATTTTTAGGGCTAATCCTAAATGGAGAGAATCCAGATGTTTAGGGCCAAGAAACTACAGATGTTTAGGGCTAATCCTAAAGGGAAAAGTTCCAGATGTTTAGGTCCAAGGACTCCAGATGTTCAGGGCTAATCCTAAAGGGCAAGACTCCTGATGTTTAGGTCTAAGAAACTCCAGATGTTTAGGGCTCATCCCAAAGGGCAAGACTCCAGATGTTTAGGTCTAAGAAACTCCAGATGTTTAGGGCTAATCCTAAAGGGCAAGACTCCTGATGTTTAGGTCTAAGAAACTCCAGATGTTTAGGGCTCATCCCAAAGTGCAAGACTCCAGATGTTTAGGGCTAATTCTAAAGGGAAAAGCTCCAGATGTTTAGGGCTAAGAAACTTCAGATGTTTAGGGCCTAGAAACTTCAGATGTTTAGGGCTAAGGAACCTCAGATGTTTAAGGCTAACACCAAAGTCAGTTTCAAGTTTGTGTTTCATCAGAACCTCTAAAGTTTCACCAGTCACGTGCAACACCAGAACATCTTCTGATTACTCTTCAGCATTTCCATGATTCCCTTTAATGCATTCAGCCTTAATAAGTCCATTATCTCTCTGGCCTGTGATCCCCCAGAGGAGCCCCTTACCTTCACATAGGGGTTGTTCATGACCAGGGAGGAGGGCACCTGCAGGGTCAGGTAGTCGTTCTCTCTCCAGTTCAACATGAAGGCCACGCACTCCTCTCCCACCACCTGGCGCAGAGGCACATCTGGAGACAGACCAGAACCGCTCAGAGACCGGCCCCCCTTACAAAGTTTAGTTTAATTATAATATAATTAGTTATTTCTCCGTTTCAGGCCTTATTTATCAGACTGACCTCCATCTGCTTCACTCAGAGACAGAAAGTGGAATCAGCTCTGTATCATTTAGCAGCTGGAGCTCCTACAGGAGGTTTCCCCATGCAGCTCTGAGGCTCTAAAGCCCCAAAACCAGGTTTTAAAGCGGTTTTTAACTGGTTTTAGACTTGATCAATGGCTGAGCTGCTCTGTTGTTAAACTGGATTAACACATTTTGGACAGAAGCTGGACCAGAGGTGCTGACTCTGGATGCTGCTCTGCTTAAAGGGGATTATTGCCCCCCCCTCCTCGCTTACCGTGGATCCTCATCTCCAGGTAACCTCTGACCCTGCTGACCAGGTCGGGGGGCGGCCGCTCCCGGCTGCCCTCCAGCGCCAGCGCCTCGTGGGCGCGCACCTCCAGCAGCAGCATCTCGTTCAGCATCACCTGCCGCAGCTTCGGGGAGAACTCAGTGACCAGCTCCAGGCAGGCGGAGAACAGCTGCCGGCCGTGGCCAAAGTCCTGGGAGCAAACAGAAAAAACAAAACAAAGAGGTTGTTCTCTTTCTCCACAATCTGGATGCAGGTCTGGCTCCCCGGAGCCCTGCCGGCACCATCAGACCTTGATGGAGATGCAGTGGAGCCCTTTTGCCATGAGGATGAAGACCAGGTCCCTGGTCAGGTTGTCCTTGATGCCCAGGATGGCGTTGATGTAGTCTGGAGGAACCTCCCACTGCGCACACGAAGCCGGTTAGTCCAGTGGGCGCTGCACGCCGCCGGCTAATGCCAGCACGCCGCACGCCGCCATACCTTGCTGTTGACCCTCCAGAAGGGCCGCTCTGCAATACCGTGCAGCTCGATCAGGATCTGCCTGATCCGGCGAGGGTCCAGCGACAGGATGAGCTGCTGCTCCAGCTGCCCGATGCTCACCGAGGCCGAGGCTGAGGGAGAGTTTTAGCTTTTTATTTAAAATGAATGAATGAAATAAGGCTCGTTTGGCCTCCGCCGCTGGACGCCGTACCTGGGATGTCGTAGAAGGACGGCAGCGGTTTGGCGCTGAGGCTGATGGTGGCAGAGCGCTTCCTCATGGCCTCCACCAGGACCTTCCTCTCCTCCTCCCTCAGCAGCTCCACAAACAGCTTATGAGACGACACCACAAACACCAGAGGCAGCTCCTCCAAGCCCTCACACAGAGTCCTGCATAGCCAGATGTTCACAGGATTTAACCCCACTTCCTCCAGCTAAAGAGTCCTGACTGTTTTCCTCCTGTTCGGGTCTGAAAAGCAGCTGGATGCTTCCTGCTCTGCTGGTTAAACTTTGACAGAAACCTGTCTGTGATCACACATCAACATCTGAGCCTCTGATCCAAACTAGAGTCCAGAGAACTCAGAGCTCTGCTGGTTTTCCTCCAGAATGAGGCTTCATTTCCTGGAAATGAGCTCTGTTCCAGCATCCAATAAAATAAAATAAAAATATGTCAAATTTAAACGTTGAAAATCTGCTTTCTGCCTCCAGAACCAGCTCTCATTTCCACTAAATGTGCTCTGTTCGAGCAGATATTACAGGCAGAAGTGGAAACATGAGTTCAGGAGCTGGAAGCAGAAATGCAGCATTTTCTTTTGGGGGGGGGGGGGGGGGCACACGAGGGTTAAAGGTCTCGTTACTCACTTCATGAAACGGGCCATGTTTCTTCTGGATGTCTCAGAAGGACGCTCCCTCTCCAGAGAACGTGCGCTCACCTTCAGAACAGAGGACGTTTATACATTTAATTTAAATTGTTTATATTAATAAAATTCAGCTGATTACATTTTAATTTAAGTAAATGTATTTGGATTAAATTAGCCTCAATTGGATTTCAAATAAATGTATTTTATTTCACTATTTTACTATTTTTCAATCGATTTGAACAGAATTTAATGACATTTCATCTTTTCTCATTTAAATTACATACAATTATCTTATTTGCATCTAATTTATTGGACTTTCTTAAATTGATTTAGATTGATTGTAACTTAATTTAATAGCATTTAATGTTTTCTAATTTAAATTAATGATTTAAATTTATTTCATTTCTATCAATTTTATTCATTATACTATTCTTTTTTTTGTCTTTTTTCCCCACTTCCAGCGTTCTCGCCCTCTCCAGTGATGCTTCTTTGTGCGTTTTGTTCTCTTTACTGCCGTTCCACCTCAGCCGGACCACCTGAGCTCAATACCTCTAAGATGAAGTCCACCAGCCGCCTGCTGGGCTTCAGGAGCAGTTGCTGAAAGCGCACGCTGAGGACTTCTCCCTCCAGCACGTCTCGGACCGCGTTGCAGACGCAGACTTTGTGGCAAACCTCCTCCAGACCCACCTCCCTGCACAGAGACCCAGTCAGGCCCACAGACCCGCACACTGTCCAGCATGAGGCTGAATCTCCCTGTGGTCTCACCCCTGTTGCACTCTGTACAGGACCTCCCGGAGAACCGACCGTCTGAAGTGTTTAGGTAAACTGCGGCTCGTGTTGTCTCTGATGAAAGCTTCGATGACAGCCTGAAGGGGACAGTAAGGTCAGTAAGTTTAACAGTCCCAAAGAAAAGCAACTCCTCGTTCATTTAACCTCCAAAGCAGAGTTTTTCTGCTTCTTCTCTCATTTTCAGTCCTGTTAGCTGAGCATTTTTAGAGGCATGTGTTTTTACTTGGTTAAAAAAGGCTCCTAACTCAAGCATTGAGCCAGGCTTAAAATGACCAAAAATAGTACAAAAAAATAGCCAAAAAAATAGCAAAAATAGAGCTAAAATTACCAAAAATAAAGCAAAAACAGAGCTAAATGTTTTTTTTGTCAACAGCAGCTGAACCTTCCAGAGTTCCCATGGTGGGTCAGAAACTGAATGAAGTGGACTGAACCCCAGCAGCTCTGATGGAAGGATGGATCCTCCAGAGCCGGAGCTCCACATTATGAAGCAGTGTGGGATCATCTGACAGAGAACGGAGCCAAAGGCAGCAGCAGCATCCAGAGAAGAACTTTGGGACGTCCTTCAAGAAGCTGGAGAGCTGCTCCTGGAGACTCCTCCCAGAGAGGAGCTGCTCCTGGAGACTCCTCAAAGAGAGGAGCTGCTGGCAGAGGGCTCCTGTTCTCCTGTGAAAATCCAAACTGAGCTGCATGCGATCAGGAAACAAACGGTTTGCTCGCGCACCTGGAAGTTGTGTGCTCGGATGAGGTTGTTGATCTGGTCGTACTGGGTGGTCTGGGGGTCGGAGGGGTCGCAGTCTCCCGTCAGGGCCCTGCAGGCGTCCCAGTAGCCGGCCAGCCGCCTCTCATCCAGGTGAACGTGCACCGTCGCCTCCAGCTGAAAGACATCACACCAGCACCAGGTTAGCCCCGCCAACAGAGGAGGCCGCCTCCATTGCCCGTGCACCACCTTCTTCAGGAGCTCCTTCGTCTGCCTGAAGTGGTCTCGAGCCTTCTCATAGGCCGACTGGTCTGTGCAGCCCTGCTGGAAGAAGATCCCTCCCAGGTCGTAATGCACCTGGAACCCAAACCACAAGCCGATATTAACACCAGGTGAAGGCAGATCCATGCAGTCTGATCCACTTCAGATATTTCTATAGTTGAGCAGACAGAATATCTCAAATACTTCCATCTGCTATCTATACAATGCTTCATTCTTTTGTTATACAAGTGACAAAACTATCTACAAATAGGTAAATCAATTTAAAACAATAAATGGGAGAAACCTTAGAAATATATACATATACAAGTCAATAATGCCTTCTATTCAGTCAATCTCATAAAAAATAAAATAAAATAAAATAATAAAAAAAGGTTCTCCAGCCAGATCGCCCACAGGATGTTTTCTTTCTCTCTCTCTGTCTAAAGGATCTTTCCCCTTTTTGGGTATGTTTCTCTTTGCTTTTCCTTCTGACAGACCTGACAGTGGAGCTCGTTGGCGCTGATCCTAAGCCCGGCGGTGGAGGACTCAGTTTCCCCGTTGGCAGCGGCAGCGTCGGCGGCCAGTAGGTCCAGCGTCCTCAGCGTGTGCACGTAGAAGTCCTTCTTCAGCTTCAGGGTTCCCTCCAGGACGCTGATGGAGTCGGCCGCCTGCTCCTTCAGCTGAGGAAACAACAGCAGCTACTTCTGAAAGCAGCCTCTGACCGTCCCCTGCTCAGCGACGCCAGCAGGGGGCGTGGCAGGAGCACCTCTGACCGCATCCACCCACCACAGCCAGGATGTTCTCCGTCATTTCTTTCTCCTGCTGCACCACGTTCAACCTGAAAGGCAGAAGAAGAAAGTCAGACGATGGGCACAAAGCCAAATGGCTGCACGTGTGCAGAGTGTCAGAGAAGATTGTTACATGTTCATCTGGTGAGGTCCCGGTTTGGTCTGCTTCTCCGGAAAGCTGCTGAGCACGATGGTGCGAATCGCCCTTTGACACACACACACACACACACATAGTGAGCAAAGGCCCTGTTAGGCTCTGGATCAGATGGTGCAAACTGAGGGGTTATTTCAAGGACTGCTTATTTCATTCATCACCCAAATTAACCCCCTGGAGGAGGCTGCTAGCAAATCTCAGGAGGGACCATTGAATCCACATTAACACTCATCAGGTTGAAGCTCACCAGCGGTTGTAGATGACGACCGCCATGGCGGTGGTGGGCGGCAGGGTGGAGAGGTCAAGGTCCACATGTTTCACCCCCGGTGGCACTTTGCTGGCACACAGGAGCTCGTTCAGCAGCATGTTCAGGACAGGAATGGTCAAGCTGGCACAGGAGAGGCAGGTTAGGTGACGATAAAGTCCATTATGTACTTTCTTTAGTCATAGAAAGATGAAACTTACTTAGAAATTGCATTAAGATTCACTGGATCACCTTAAATATCTCTTTATTTCCTCACTATTTCTTATCCTCCAACCTTCTTTGACCTTTAACCTCTTACACCTGGATTTACTGTCAAACCGTGGCTTCCTGCAGACTCATAGGCCCCTAATAAGCAGCCTCCACTGCTTTGCGTATGGAAGTGATGCCTAACTTTCCCATTTCATGTGCCATGGGAGTAAACAAGGAGGCCGCTCACCCTTTCTCCAGCAGGTCCAGGTCCCACTTCATGTGCGCGGCCACCTTCAGGGCCAGCAGCTTCAGGGTGCGGTTCCTGCGGTTGTCAGCCGGCGGCTGCACCTGATTCTGCTCGTTCACCGAGGGCTTGGAGGCCTGCTCCAGGAACTGGACGATCAGCTGCACCGGCGTGGGGTCTGCCGGAGACAAACACACACACACACTCTTCGTTTGCTTGGTCATCTTTGACCCGGGACAGATCACTGGGGGACACTGACCAGGAGTGGATTTCTCCAGGTGTTTCTCCAGCAGGCTTCCATCCAGGAGGAACTCGAACCAGGACACCTGAAGAGGCGTGCTGGGGCGGCTGCTGGTCACAGCCGCCACCCGGTCAGCTGCCTCAGCACTCATCCTCCCCTGAAAGGCAGCGACCCACAAAGATCAGCAGGTCAAACCCAGTGAGCAGCAGTCAACAAGCAGGGCTCTGAGCTTATGTTTTCATGACCAATCTGTGACTTACAGATCTTATTTTACAGTAACTAAATAATGCGAGCGCAGAGCTAAGAGTTTTCATCCTTTTCTTAAGATTCTAAACTAAATATCTATAAATAAATGTAGGTTATTGTATGTTGAGGTGAAATGTGTTTAAACGTGAAAGCTTTTGGTGGTTAGTTTTTATCACTTTAACACACCGACTGGTAGGGGATTGGAGATATTTGTGAATCGAACAACATTCGAGCTACTCTGACATTTAAATTAAGCGCACCCGCTCCGCCAATTCTCTGTTGTGCTCAGAAGAGGCGATGTTCGGCTAATATTTTGGCTAGCTAACAATACTTTTCCACTTCACCCGCTCAAGATGCAATATACTGTCTTACCTGAGTACAAAACGGATCAAAATCGAGAAAATAAAAGGCATAAAAGTGCTTTAAAAACTCAGAATAAGGTGCTGGAGCCGCTACACAGACTGATTCTCACATAATTCATTCGGCGCCTCGCCATTTTTCTTCCGTACTTCCGGTTCCGGTCCGTCGTCAAGGAGACACATCGCGCAATAATTGCGGATATTTATGAGGAATTTAGGCTAACTTTGATTTGGATTTAATCTGTCGAATTCCACTGAATCAGATTCAGTGTGGTTTGTAAAATGGCAATAAAGGAAGTCTAAGTTCCCGTCTTATAGCAATAAATAAATGATTTGTTTCTCTCCATCTTCCTCCTGCTCTGAGTCCTCCACTGCTCTGGATTGGGAGTCCTATTTCTACAGTTATTTGGAGTTCAGCGGCGGCGGCCAGCAGGTCCAGCTGATTTTTGGGACATTTAGGGAAAAAAATAACTTACCCCACCCACCCCGCCCCCCCATGCAACATGGGCAACACACTGATGTATTAATCCCCATTATTTCCAGATGTGGAGGTCAGTTTAAAAAAAAATTGTTCAATAGCTCCAGTGAAAGTAAAAACCATTGAAGCCATGTGCATGAGGAAGTTTATTGAGCCAGAATTGACAAACTGTGAGCGTTCTGCTCTATGAGGGTCCGTTTGTATCCTAAAGACCAGCGGCTGCTAGAAATATTCAGAAAAGAACAATAAATCTATGAGGAACGCTGACATTTATCTGATCTATAAAGGATGCAGAGGGACGCAATTCCTGAAAATCACAGGAACTCTGTGAAAGTTCATCTTAAAAATGAGCTGAGGTAAAAGGATTTTGGCTCAGAAAAGACCCACAGAGCACACAGGGGTTAAAACTGGATGTTTGGGAGCTCAAAGTGTCCATTTTAGGATCAGAGCAGCTGTGGAGCTGCTCACAGAAGGTTCCCCCATGTAGCTGTAAGAGAAATGCTGTTTTATATGCCTTTATATGACTGGATCAGGGGCTGAGCCCCTAAACCTAGAGACAACCATGTCATTCTTTGTGTTCAACATGCATCAGACAATAAAAATTAAAGAGGCATGGCTTCTACTCAGCTCGTTTTTCTATTGGCTGATGCCATGATGGCTGCACCTGCAAACCAACCGATCTTGATTTCCCTTCTAGGGAGACCGAAATCAATGTGCAAACATTGGACCAAGAACATTACAACCGAGGCTACGAAGCAGAAAAAGGCAGCGCGGAGCGACGGATCCCAGGATGAGAGCGGAAGCAAACAGACTCCCATCACTAACGCCGCCTCAGTAACATCAACAAACGCCTTCAAAAACTACAGTACAGTGATCAATGTGGCGGCTCCCTGCAGACTGAGCGTCTGCAGACACGGAGGAAACACGGGAGGGTCATGGCGGGTCTCCATGGAGACGGCGGCCGCCGTCAGTACTGGAAGGAGATGACGGGGTTGACTTTGTAGACGTGGTACGAGCGGTTCCAGAAGACCCGGGTGAAGTAGTTGGTGTAGGGCGAGTAGTTCAGCTTCATCTCGTGGCAGAATCGTCCGTGCTTGGAGAAGGAGAAGTTCTCCCCTTTGTTGTGGATCACCTGTATGGGACAGAAAAGTCTTGCTTTGAGCCCAAAATGAAACATTAACATAAAGGAATCAATGAACTGGTAAATATGGGATCAAAAATGGCATTTTCAGCGATTAGAAATGGGACTTCTATTTGTACCATTTATGCTAATTTGAGGCAAATTTTTGGGCAAATCTGAGCTGTGTTTAACCAGCACAGGCTGAATGTCTTTAGTAACAGCACAGCACATGTTTGGGCAGCTCGGAGACTCACGTGTCCGTTGGAGATGTCCAGCAGGTCTTTGATTCTGCAGCCCTTCTGGAAGTTGAGCTCATTGCAGATCGACTCCTCAATGATTACATAGTTTGTTTTCTGAGCGGTCAGAAGTTTGTAAACGTCCTCGGCAGACCTCATCGCGTACACCTGGTAGGTCTACAGGCAAAGGGAATAATAGGGTATCTAAATAACTGAATATGATTATAATAGATTATAGTAATTCATCCTACAGTTGTCTAAAGGAACTTCAATAAAAACATCTGAGCACCAGAGACTCGCAGCAACATTCCAACATGGCTGCCCCCTCAAAAGGAGAGAATCACTATGGCAACCAGGAGGCCAAACATTACATCATGGCTGCCCTTTTATACTCTGTAAGAAAAGTCAAGCTTGTTTTCGAAAAGAGCTGTTCTGATTCACATTTCTAAAGGGCGCCACTCTTTATGTTAGTTAAGTTTCCGCCAGTTACGCTAACAGTTTAGCTAAAAAAGAGGATGTCCCCCAGCAGATAACGCTAGCAGCAAAGCTAATGAAAGTGAAGTCCACCAGCTTGTGGGGAGTTCCTGCTCTTCCTCTCCGACAGAGAAAATGTTACTTTGTTTGCTGAAGCTTTTAGCTGAATCATGCAAGTGGGTAGAGAAGCTGTTTCCAACACAACTCCAGTCCTCTCCTCACTCTAACGGCATGTAGCCGTGTGTTAGCATCACATTGTCAGCATGTCTCTGATAAAGATGGAGGCCTCCAGCTGTTTATTGAGGCAAATTATTAGAGAGTGGCTCACGTCTTCAGTCCTCTTCAGCAGGCTGATGTCCGTGTAAAGTGGTAAGCTGCTGACGGCCGAACCAGAACACAACTTTATTGTTCCCAACAGCTGAGGACTGCCTGCAAACACAGCTGCCACTGGAACCTGTGACCTGAGAAGGAGGAAAGATTTGTAACACAGCCCATAGACGCTGAATGAGTCCCGCTCATACACAGGAACGGGTCGGGCCACCTGATCCAGCTGATCAGCTCAAATGTGTCCGGGTCGTAGAACTCCTGCAGCTCTGCCAGCTCTTCTAGGACGCGTGGATAGTACTGAAACACGGGGGGGGGGGGGTTAAATGTAACGCTGGTGTCTTTAAGCATCAACCCCAACAGAGATGAGCATTCGCTCACAGCTTAAATCCCAACTTAAAAGTGCAGGTTTTGAATAATTTCTGCTTCCGGTCTGTCCGTCCAGTAGATTTATTCTCATTTTTGTCTTTGTCTAAAGATGTCGGCTGAAAGAGTGGAACATAAATCTCGGCAGGAAACGGCCAAACGCCTCACCTCTCTCCACAAACTGAAGCCGATGATGGTGGGAACAGCTGTGCTCAGGATCAGAGACTGGAGCAAAAGAGAGAGGAAATAAGATACAAAGACAGAATCTGAGGCATTTATGTCTGTTGAGTGATTAAGAATTAGTCCAAAAAATGACTTTGTGTGTTCTTACCAAGACGACGGGGTGGATGGACTTGAGTCTGAGCCATTTAAAGATGGTCATCCAGAGGTCGGGGGAACACACCCCGAAGGCTGTGAACATGCACACGTACGGCGTCCACAAATACTTCATCCTGCGTCACAAGAGAGCACATATGCCGTTGAGCTGGGCCGGAAACGCCCCACAAAACGGGAGCTAGCTTCTGTTGGAGCGGACGTACGATGCCGATGAACACACCCATCAAACAGCAGAGCCAGGCCTCCGAACAGCAGCGAGTGGAAGACGTGGTAGGCGACGGCCGGCTGCTCGCCGATGCGCCCGTCCTCCAGTCTGTGGGTGCTGCTGATTGGCTGGCCACTGAGGGGGAGGGAGACACTGTCAGCAGCCTGTCTTTAACCCCCAGTGGAGTCCTGATCTGCTTATGCCTTTAGGCTGTTCATTTTTATACTCATATGGAGCCAGGTTAACTGGGTTACAGAGCTTTTTGGTGTATTTGCTGAGTGATAAGGGAGTAAAGTGGGTTACTGTCACTTTAAGACCAGTTGCAAATCTCTCGAGAACTCGAAAATCCCTCGAGATCTGAAAGACCCGCCAAAAATATCGCCTGCTGGGAAGCTAACGACTGCTAAGGTGTGTAATTGCGAACCGCGAGGATGAAAACCTGCTGAAAAACAGTAAATCCCTGATTTACCGTTACAATTAGAGTTTCTTACCACCCACAAATTTTACATTACAGAAAAAAGAAAAATTCTTTGTGTCTATTCCTGAAATATTAAGTCAGATTATTTTAAACCTTTAGCAGTTGTGTCACACACAGCTTTAGCATCTTCCAGGGCCTTTAGTCCTTGTCTATCTGATTATCTGGGGGCAGCTGGTTTACTTCCTGTTTTTCGATAAATCACAGCCTGTCTGAAGAGACGCGGCGACCTCTGACCTGAGCCTCCTGTAGACCGCCTGCAGCGTGGACAGGAGGCACACGGCGAGCACCAGCAGGTAGAAGGGAAGAACCGAAGCCTGCGTCAGCCGCAGGAATAAGTCCTGGCCCGGCGTCTGAAGGCCGTCTTGGCACAAGAGGAAGTTGGTGACAAAGTCGCTACAAAGGGGACAAAGAAAAGCAGCAAAAGAAGCCGCTAAAGCCACGCCGGGTGACACCAAACGGACTGAAAATGTCTCAAACTCAACACTCACGTCGTCGTGTTGAGCCCAAACTTTACTTCTAGGAACTTCAACAAGAAGTCGCTCTCACTGACAGGAGCAAGCTTCTGAAAACAAAGAGCCGAGTCAGGGTCTGCTTAACAGCCCAACAGCTGAGCAGCCAAACAGCTGAAAAAGCAGCTCTTACTTTGGCCACGTAGCTGAAGGTGATGCCGGTGGTGAACACCAGGTGGAAGTGCAGGAACAGCTTCATCACTCGGGCCACCAGGGGACCCATCTTCATCTTTTGCTGCGACAAAAAAAAACACCACCACATGAGTCACACCGAATATTTAGCCAATGGGATGATCCAGCTGTGTGGGGGCAGGGGGGGGCTAACTCTACCTGGAAGTACCTCGCGAGCACCGAGCCAATTAGGAGGCTGAGCAGAGGCGAGCCGAGCAGGGCGGCGTTCTGGAACTGGAACAGGTAGGCCAGGAACAAGGAGCTCAGGTACACCTTGTGAATGTCAGCCATCTGTTTGGGGGGGAAGAAGCCATCAGCCGGTTTTTACTGGTCCAACCTGGTGACCAAACCGCTCTATGAAGAGTTAAAGGCTGCTTCTGTGAGCTTTTGTCCTGCTGAATTAAACATATTCATGAGAAAAACCTTCCATCCATCAAAATGAATCTTATTCAGTTTTGAGGGGAAGCTTTCAGTCAAATGGAACCATTTCTGAGGGCTCCAGATGAGCTCATATCATCAGAAACTGTCGCTGAAATGTAAAAAAAGGGCATGATTCAAAGGTTCAAAGGTGATCCAACAGCCGAGTGGTCTCCTGTTGTTACCTTCCGGGGTGGCACCATGTCGAAGGAGTCCAGCAGGAAGAGACAGAGGCCCTGCACGAAGAGCACGTAGTGGCCGTGCTCCCACACCAGCAGGAAGGTGAAGGTGGTGGCACTCATGGTGAGATAGCAGAACATCTGCAGAGGAAGGGCCTTCGGTCAGTCTGCTGATCTCTGACACAGACAACAGAACCAGCAGCTCCACCCCCCCCAAAGAGCTCAGAGCTGGATGCTTTCCAGCAGAGCTCTTTGCTCTCGGGCTCGTTTGGAATTATTGAATGAACTGGACTGAACTGGATCGAGTCGGCCTGAATACAAGCATCGACTACAGCTGTTATATATTGTTATTATTTATATGTTATATAAATACATATACAGCAGCACCTCTGCTTACAATTACAGCAGTGCTTATTAAGGAGTTATCGTAGGTTTTTGGGCTGTGGAACGAATTATACAAATTACAGTGTATTCTGATGGGAATATTTGAACCAACATACAAATATTTTAAAATACGAAGTAGGTCCTAGAACCATTTAAATTTGTATGTAGAGGTTCTACAGTATACATATGTTATACATAACATAATTTATTGTTATGTATATATTATTGTTATGGCCGTTATTCTGACTGGACCCCTCCCGATATCTGCATGCTTGTTTGCCTTTCTTCCTGCAGACCTCAGCCCGTTTGGGTGTTTTTGGGAGGGAGAAAGATGCCCACCTCAGCAGCAGAGCTGATGTTGTTGCTCAGGAAGCCGGTCAGAGCGGTGATCTGACAGGAGAGGTAAGGCAGGGCCCAGTTGTCCCGCAGGGGGATGGCCTGGTCCACTTTGGTGGTATCTGGTCTGTGGGAGGAGACGAAACCAAATGAAAGCAGGTTTTTGTGCATCAAAAAACCAGAGGTTTCAATAAAAATCCCAGGAAAAGTTCCCTGCATCGACTTCCATCCCCCTTTCCTTTATCTTTGTCCTATAGCTGGATCCTTACTGATTTGGACCAGCCAAAGCCTTCCTCAGGAGCACCTCGTGGTCTCTGAACAGACCAGAGTCCACTTCCACTCACAGGTTTTTAAATAAGAGACCTCTGCTTTGCCTAAAATGAGGGTCTCTACTCCCTTAAAGAGCACAGAGCAACATCTGGGCCACTAGAGCCAAAGGAGAAACCAAGCAGACACCTGTAGTTTTCAGTGTCCCGCGTGGGCCGAGACGGTTTAGCTCACCTGTTGATGACGTACCAGGACACGGCCAGCATGCCGGCCACCCAGCTGCCGCTCATCACCCAGCTGCACACAAACAGGGCGGTGACGTAGACCGCCTGCAGGCCGAAAACCGCTCCGATGTAGAAGTAGACGGGTTCCACAAAGTCCTGTTTAATCAGTCGGGGGGGGACATAAAACGGAAACAAAGACCTGAAACTTCACTGGATTCTAACAGTAAACAGCAACGTGGTGAGGCTTCTCCAGCAGTCTGAAGAAACCCCCACAGCTCATAATACAGAGAGTTCCTCTATCAACCGTTCAGCTAAACGCTTCAGCTAACAGAAAAATGTCCTAACAATGATGTCCATCTGGAGGCTGGCGGACGTCGTCCTCATTAGCTGAACTGTTGCCGTTAGCTACTGGTGTACGTCCTCTTCATTAGTTAGTGTTAACATCAGCTGCTGGTGGACAGCATCTTCATTAGCTAAGCTGTTAGCCTTAGCTGCTGCTGAAGGAAACAACAAACCAGGATGCTGGTTGCTATGACGATTTCCTCCTTTTTCAGCAGGCAGCCATGACTGAATGTTTGTCTGACTGGTTGCTATGGCAATTCCCTCCATTTTCAGGTTTACAATAAGTTTAGGCTCTCAGCTTGAAATGAGGTTCAGGAATGATAAATTGTCCCAAACCGTAATATAAAATCAGAGAAAAAGAAAAGTAAATCCTTACCTGGCTGTCTGTGACTCTGTAAATGAAGCTCGTGATGAGTTCTGGGTAAAGAAATAAACGCTCCACTGCGTTGATGGTCTGGCCTGAAACTGTCTTGTTATCGACAGTCAGCTCATAAAAGCCTGGAAGACAGAACAAGTGGGCCGTCAGTCACTGTGAATAAACACTAAACCGCGGTTTCTCTCAGGGGAACTGGAGATTAACACACCTCTTTCAAAGGAGGGAGCGGCCAGCATGTGCTTGTAGTAGTAATAATAGAGTCCACTGCCTCCCTGGAAAGACATTTCACGCTCGAGCTCCTGAAACAAGAACCCAGAAAGTGCTTCAGTCCGAGCAGAGATTTCTTCTGGGAGGGGCAGAAAAGAAAGGACGCCCACCTGTCGGGTCGAAAACCAAAACTTCCTGTCGTGGTAGGCCGACAGGTAGGCGGCGTAAAGCATCCCGCAGGCCACCGCCGCCATCCACCCGAAGAAGACCCTCACCAGGCACTGCAGGAAAACTGCTGAGCGGGCAGAAGCAGCACAGAGTGACCCCCCGACCAGCACCGCACACAGGGGCCACACACCCTGGCTAAAATAAGAGCCGGCATCTTTCTGAGCCTCCGCCAGAGCTTTTCTGCCTTTTTGCTCATTTTCAGTCCTTGAAGCTGAGCGTTTTCAGAGCAATGTGTGTTAATTCTTTCATATTCTTTCCATTTTTGTCCTATTCTTACCCTCTCATTCTCGCCTTTAACCACTTTATCCTGCACTGTGGCTGCTGCTGTAACAAAGCAATTTCCCTGCTCTGATAAATCTAATCAGTAAGACAGAAAATATTCATCTGGCAGGAAAAAAGGCCCCTAACTCAAGGGCTGAGCCATTGCTGTGTTTAAAGTGGATCTTTAGGCTCTTTGTCAGCAGCAGATTGTCACACAGACACATAATTTGTTCCATTTCTGTAGCTGATGGAGGAAAAAGGCCAAAGAAAACACAGTCTGACAGACAGGAAACAGCATTTTTTAAACTTTTTTGGAGGGAAAAAGAAGAAGTGTTGGACCCACAAAAACCTGTCTCCAGCAGAGAAGAGGATCTGAAAGTTAAGTGGAATCTAGACCAATGATCATTTCCCTGTCTTTGCATTTTTGATCCTTCAACTTTGCATTAAAGTTGACTTTTATATCCCCTAAATCTGTAGTTAAGACCCGAATAGCCGTCTTACATCCAAATGAGGTGTTTTTGGGCTTCGGAGCAGGCGGGGCCGCTTTGGATGCCTCCTCTTCCTCACGCTGACCGGGCTCGCCACCACCGGCTGCATCCTCCTCCTCCTCCCCGGACAGCACACCTGTCCAGGTGTGACGGCAAACACACAGTCATCCGTCATCCCCGCCTCACACCTGGATTCAAACAGATGTTCGGATTGCTAACAGCTAAGCTGTTTGCTTACGTTTGTCGTGCGGCTCCGACTCGCTCCGTCGTTCCTCCTCGTCGGCGTCTCCTTCGAAACTTTCCGATTTCCGACATCTTAACTCGGTCATGACGGGCTCAGATAGACGCCAACGGACGAGGAAGCGGCATGCTAGCTAGCTAGCTAGCAGGCAGCGAGCCGGCCCGGACCGCAGCGAGTCCCCCTCAGCCTGGAGCCGTCAGGCGGACAGGAGGCGACCTTTTCCCGACGTCCCGTCGGAACCGACCGACAAAAGAGCCGCAGAGCCGGAGTTTTTTATGAGGATGTTTCCTGAACTCCGGGTTCCGCTGCTCGCCTGTGGTGTTCACTCATGCTGCGTTCACAGACCCGCGGATGGCGGGACACTTCATCGGGAGAGATTGGGATTTTCTCCCTCTAAATCCTCCGCATAAGAAATGGATACAATCACAACTTTCTTTATTTAGCTAATTTTCTGATTGTATAATAAATGTATTTCCAGGCGTTTTCTCCACTTTCTTAAGCGACCCAAGATACTACTGTGGAAATTCACAGTATCCCTGAATGCAGCGGGAGAAACCGCCTCATTGTGATTGGCCACTCCGAGGATAACTTTTTAAATCTTTATTAACAACACGAAAATGTTACAAACTGAACCGAAAGCGTGAGATTAAAAAAAAAGAAAAAGAAAACGAAGCTACAAAGATGTACGTGTGTTGAAACACATTTGGTGCATGAATAACATGGAGGTTTTGTCCTGGTTCTGGCTCAGGATGGGGACTGGATCTGGATCAGGGAGAGGTTTCAGAGCTGGTTCCCTGAGAAATTAATCTTCTTTTAGTCGGCTCTAAATGAACTGGAGTCATTATGGTGGTGTTGGAAAGACTTAGACTGAATGTAGTGTTTTAATTTGAATTAAAGTTTGTCTTTGTTTTGCTTGATTTTGCTGCTTTTTCTGGCCACTTTTTCGCTTTGCTTGATCCCTCTGAAAGGTTCCCTAAAGATGGGTTTTGTGGACTTTGTTCTCGGTTGGTTTTCCAGTTGGAAGTTCCTCTGTGATTTGTTTTATTCTGTCCTTTGCATCGATCCTTACCTTTTCTGGTTTGTGGGTTTTTTACTCTTGTTGCTCCCTCCTGTTTCCCACGTCCTTCCTTTTGTTTCCCGGTTCTGCTCTTCACCCATTAGGGCTTTTCCAGGCTGCCCCCATCCACACTCCTCTGGATCTCAGCTCACCCTTTGTCAGATCCTGTTATTCTATTGCCGCCCCCCCCCCACCCCCACCTCCCCGTTCCCCTCGGTCACGCTTCTTTAGCTTTTTGTTTCTTGTGTTTTTGTCTCCTCTGGTTCGGTTTTTGGTCTCGAGCAGAGCCGAGCTCTGTGTTCCCCAGTTATCCCCTCAGCTCTCCACCCGCTGGCAACGACTGGAACACAGCTACTTCTCAACTCCAAGTACACGACATTGAAAAGATTTTATTCTAAAGAGAAAATTCCCATTACGTTCATTTCAGGTTTTAATATGAATTTTCTGGAAAAAGCGTACCGAAAGGCCTCTGTTCCTTTTGTGCCCTCCCTGCAGAGCAAGCCTCCTCATACCAGCTGGAATCAGGCTGTTCCAGATGCGAACGTTTACAGAAGGCCGGAAATCGGATACATGGTTGGATGTTTCAGGCAGCAGCAGGAGGTGGAAGCCTGACTGCCTGCTGTCTGAACTCTGGACAGACGAGTAACAAATGTGTCCACTTTGGCTTTAAGCCCTGAAACAGCAGAAGAGGCCTGAAGGTCCGGCTGACACTGAGACTGACTTATTGGAAATTCATTGGGACAGTTTATATCGACACACGGGCAGGAGAGCAGGAGCTCACCGCCCTGAAGCGACCCTGTTAAAACCCCTAAAACCAGAAGCGGCCGGCGTAAACTGCGACGGCAGCCGTGCTAAAAGCGCTCAGGAGCCTGTAAAGTTGGTCCCGAACCTGAAGAACGATTCAAATCAAAATAAAAGTGGAAAACACATCGATGGCGCAGAGTGGAAGCGGCCTGCCGGAGGGGCTCAGGGGCCGTTCACTCCTCCCCCGATGACTCCTCCGAGCCCTCCGAGTTCTCTTTTGTGGCTTTGTCGGCCGTCTTTGTTTGACCTGAGCGAGACACACAGCTGTGAGGGTCGGGCCTCACTGGGAGGGGGGAGGGGGGAGGAGGCGGCGGGGGGGGGGGGGGGGGGGGGGTACCTGCTCTGGCGCTCTTCGGACCCCCCGCAGAGCCGGCGCCGCCCACGTCGCAGCGCTCCAGCAGCACCGTCAGCATTTTGGTGACTTGTGGATGTCTGAAGGTTTTAGTCACAGCTTCCTCCTCCAAGCTGCTCCCTGATAAATCTGAGGGCAACACAGAAAGAAGAGTTTTAAGAACTGAGTGAAAAACAGCCTGCCAGTTCAGTCTGAGGGGGAGTGGGGGGGAGGAAGAGAGGGGCGATAGCGGGAGGGAGGGAGGAGAAGATAGATGGAGGGAGGGAAGATGGAGGGAGTGGGGATAGAGGAAAGGGAAGATAGAGGGAGGGAGGAGAGAAGGAGTGAAGACAGGATGAAAGCCCCTGACTTCCCTCATCTTCCATCCCCCCTCCAGCTTCCTGAATTCAGGGAGCAGCAGCAGCTCTGCCCTGCTCAGGGGGCGGGGCCTGTACCTGCCGCTGGCTCCTCCCCCTTCTTCTTCTTCCCCTTCCTCCTGGTGGCCGTGCTGTTCTTCTTCTGGGCCGCCGCCTTGGTCCTGCTGGCCGTCCGTGGCTCTGCGCGCGGCTCGTCCTCGGAGCTTTGCTCGCAGAGTCCTGCCCAACGACATTCGAGTTTATTCTA